AAAGTGGATTGTAATGAGAGTGGTCCCATGCTTCGGCTGTGGGGATACCTGAGTTATCAAAAAAAAAAAAAAAAAATGTGAGAGTAATTTTGTTGGAAAGATTAATGTCGATGGTGGGGTGCAAATATTATAACTTTTTAAAGTCAATGAGTTTCATTGGTATATTAAAATGTTAGGGGATATCCATATATTTTTACTAAATGTCAAGGAGTGTTTGTGATTTTAAAGAGTAAAATAGTCTTTTAATTGGAAAAATTAACGGGGATTTGTAAAAGGGGTGTGACTGATATAACTTAAATATTAAGGGATCTTCCTATTATATTCACATATTTTTATCAAATGTCCTAAAACTATCTATAAAGTAAAATTTATATTAGTAGACGTGAACATATTTTAACTAATTTTACAAACAAAAATAGGATATAAATGCTTAGGATTCTCTATTTCCAAATTTATGTATTCTCAACCATTTAATTATGTTTATATTTTAGTGCAAACAAATATTGAGATATGATTCACTGATGGAAATAGAGTGGGACATTAGAACAGAGAGATTTAGAGGCAGAATCTCATGCAACATTGCTAGTTTTATGATATTAAACAAAAATGGGTATTGTTATTCAAGACAAAAAATTAGACGCAATTTTTAAGCCTAATGAGGTGGCAATAAATTAGAATATTAAAAATAACACTATCTCTCATGTCTTCTCTAATTATCAACTAATCATATCAGTTATACATCATTAGCTCTATATTTTTTTTTTAGTTTCAGGGAATCATAATGAAAAGATTATCAGAATGCTTAAACTTGAAAATACTTGTCTTCAAATTTTTTGGTTCAGAGTGTTGTATGATTTATTATTTGGAAAAAGCTTCGGACCCAGTGGGGGTACTGGGGGTCGCATGTGATTGGTCCAAAAAAAAAATTTTTTTTTTTTTTTTTTTTAATGTTTTCCACCAACCCCATGCTGCCACATCACTAGGATGCGACCCTCACTTGGGGTCCTCCCAGAAGCACGGCTCAAATAACAAAAGGCTCACTTGGGAGTGTAGCTTACATTTAGATATCAACTAGATATGCATGAATAGCTGAGATTAACAAGTAGTTGGCAAACAAGAAGCTGAAAAAAGGATTGAAATTCATGGAAGAAGTCACTAAAAAGTCTTTACATATTTGTATTTTTCTCCAATATGTGTGAGAGACTACTGGTTCAGTGGTTAAAATTTTGACCTATGAACTTTGAAGTCTGTAAAAATTTGACCGATCAACTTTAAAGTTATGGGTACAAACCTAAGAGCGGTAACTTGGGCAAATTATGCCAAAGGTTAAATCCGTATTCAATCTACCCTTCTCAAACTCCATCAAGTTGGGGAAACGAAAATATACGAGTATACTTGTAAATTTGAACTGCCAAGCCTTCCCTATCAAATGTGACCCACAAACCAAAATTATTCCTCCTACTTTGTGTTTCCCCAAAAGTACCAAGCTTTGCAACAAATTTTTATTTGCGAAAACCTCTTTCAGACAAACTTGATAGAAAATCAAAGCTCTTGACGTATTAAATCCATATTAGGGCTGAAATGAAACAATGCTGTTGAATGGCACATGCAATCAGGAATATTTGATGTTCTTATACTTCACAAAAACAAAAACAGAAAAAGACCTAAATTCAAATTTTAAACAAAATCAGAACGAGCAAATTGGCTGGAGAGTTTAAAGCACAGCAATGGCTCAGAAAAAGAAACGAAAAAGTGAAGCATTCGAGTGTTTGTGAGCGCGCGTGTATGCGAGCGTGTGCACTTCTTTGTGTTTGTGTTTATCCATTTAAATAATAATTATTAACTTAATATTACAACTAAACCAACTGAATTACTTTACATCTCTATTGATGGCAAACGTTTAAAAAGCTCTTAAAACTACTTTGATGCTAAATGTTTGTTTTTCTTGTTGCCTCTCTTTCTCAGACTACTACTTTCAGGCCCTTCTTCCTCTTCAGCCTTCTGCTCCGCCTCTAAAATGGCCAACTGCAGTACGTGCGTAAACACGCACAAACAAAAAGATATATCTCAATGTAAAATCTTAATATGTTTTGATTCTTTTTCAGCAGCTGAAAAGCCCTCAGGGCTTAAACGCAAAGGTTTTACCTCATCAAGGATTGGTTTCAGCTCCTTGTATCGAGCAACGGCAAGGTCAAAACCATCTTTACGTAGCTCCTGTGTTGGCCCACAACAAAAATATTACAAACAGTAGGTAGGATACACTTATAAGGCAATACTTAAATTCATCTTTTGAAATTAGAGAATAAGAAGATCGTAGAGGATTACAGAGGGTAGCTAGCAGGGTGAGAACATTTCTTAAACCAACTGCAGTTCTAAATATATTGGTCAAGTCAGTCATTCAAAAACTTGATTAGATTTTATGGAAAAGAAATCACACTGGTCAATATATATCACCCACGTTCAATAAATCTCCAAATCTAAACTTCTTAAACCACAAATAAAGAAGAATTTTATATAGGGTTTATTACACTTTCTACCCCTGAATTATCGCCGAATTATCTGTTTAGTTCCTAAACTAATCTCCAAATCTAAACTTCTTAAACCACAAATAAAGAAGAATTTTATATAGGGTTTATTACACTTTCTACCCCTGAATTATTGCCGAATTATCTGTTTAGTTCCTAAACTATCGATTGAGTCTATTAAACCTCTGAAGTATATAAATCAAAGTCTACTTAGTCCCTAAACTATCGATTGAATCTATGAAGTCCCTAAATTTTTTAATTCAAATCTATTTAGCCCATGAAAGAATTACAAACATAAAATATAAATCGATAAGTATTACAAATTAGTAAAAGACCCTACCTAGTGAAAATTTTATTTAAAAAAAACCTTAAAATTTTATTCTATCTTCTACAATGGCTACTAGATTGCCTTTATCTAGTATTATATGCCGAATTTTGTTTACAATTTCTAATTGATTGTCTTTAAGTTTTTCGTTAAATTCTATTTATAACTTAAATAATGTATTAGTTTGTTCTATTATTATTTGTAGCGAAGTGTTATTACTTAAATTATTTAATTCTACTTCTTCAATATATCTAATACTCGTATAATTTTATTGATAAGGCCAAAAAACCAAGTTCTGATGTTAATTTAAACACAAAGCAAAACAAAAAACTTTTAGGACAAAGTAAAAATTTAAGAAATTTTTTTTTTTGAATTAAATCTTAACTAAGTAGGTAGGGGTGGGCAACGGTTTATCCGAACCGTTCAAACCATCCAACCCGCATATAAATGGGCGGTTTCGCAAACATAATGTGGGCGGATGCGGTTTGAAATATGACAAATTTGCGGGTTGCGGGCGGGTCGTGGATTAGACCCGCAAAACCGCCCGCACTTTAATTATTATTATTATTTTTCTTTTTATATACCAACTTTGTAACTTTGTAACTTTAACAAGAGCACCATTATGTTTTCTATGACACTGGGATCCTTATTTTTAAGTATTTCTCAACTTTCTTAATACTGTAAAATTATCAAGTCCTAAATTTGATTTTTATATGATTTTCATTGGTGATTCATCCACTTTTTCCTAATAAAATTTTCCTTCTGGTGGTCGATGGAATTTCTAGTTTGATTATTGATTACTGAACTGACAATTCTAATTGAGTACAACCTTTAACGCATTGATATACATTTTTTTCATGGAAAAAATGTTAGTGTAGGGTCTCTTTATTTTGGATACTTTCATTTAATGTATTGATATTCAATTTTTATTTGTAAACTCATCAGAAATTTGTTGTCAAATGATCACAAATATATAAAATGAATCTGATGCTTACATTCAATGGAAAAAAAAAAAACTCAAAAATTAATTCTTAAAGAAAAAAGTGTAAACCGCCCGCAACCGCCTGCACATTTGCAAACCCTATCCGCATAAACCACAAACCGCACTGCGGGCGGTTGCGGGTTGGCTTTTTCTCAAACCGCATAGATGCGGGCGGTCAAAACCAAACCGCAAACCGCACAAAACCGATCCGCGAACACCTCTGTAAGTAGGGGTCTTTTTATTAATTTAAAATACTTATGGATTTATATTTTATTTTTTTAATTCTTTCAAGGACTAAATTGGTTTGATTACATGTTTTAGGGACTTAATAAATCCAATTGATAGTTTAGAGACTAAATAGATTTTGATTTATATACTTTAGGGACTTAGTAGACTGAATCAATATTTTAGGAACTAAGTAGACAATTTGACGATAGTTTAGAGGTATAAAGTGTAATAAATACTACAATATAAAAGTTCAATATATTTTTGTATTTTGTTATATTTAAAGAATTTTTTTGTACAAATTTTATAATTTTTAACTATATCATGATTAAGTGGATCTAAAAAGTTAAAACAATTGATTAAAATATTTTTAAAAATAAAAAAATAGGAATAAAACTTATAAAACTATTTTTTGAAAATTCCAAACCAAATAAAGTATGTTTGGGATTTTTTTTAATATTTTTTTAATGAAAATATGTGTAAAAAGTAGAATGAATGGAAATGAGCCTTTGACTTTTTGGAACGTTTTCTGTACTGTTATGTAGGGTTGAGTCCCTAGTTTGAATGGATGTGAATATTGTACATACTGTTCTGTACTGTTTATGTATGAATGCATGAAAAATCTTTTGCATACAAACTGTCACAGCTCGTTGGACATTGTTTAATTACTGTATTGGCTTCCGCCAGGCCCTGTACTCTGTTTTACTGTATTACTGTTCTGCAGGCCTTCGGTAATCTCGGATTACTGGCCGGTTACGGTGCTAAACCCATAGGGCCGGGTTTGGGTCGTGACAGTAGGTGAAGGTAAAGATGGGAAATTCTAACAGATACTATTATTTCAACAGAAATTAATAAAAATTTGATACATAGGGTTCTACAATTGCTTTCAACAAGCCATAACAAGTCATGCATAGTCTTGATGAAGCTTAAAGCCAATTTTTTCAAATTTTGTGTCCTAATTCAACATATGCTACGGATCTGTCAGAATGCCTCTCTGGAGGGGATCTGCACCTTGACCAACCCTAGACGGAGATCGTATCATAGCCAACATTGGAGAGACCCTCCATGATACAACCCTGAGATAGCATAATAATATCTCTGTAGCACCCATGATACAAACTCCAAGGTCTAGGATGAATAAAAGTTAGGATACCTCCATTGGCTAAGCCACCTGTGCAAAGGTAAGCTGCCCTCCATGGTTCAGTTACCCTCTATAAGGTATCATCACCTTCTCCATCTCCGGCCTATGGCATGACCTCTCCACTACCCTCCCCTCTATTCTAAGGTTGTCTAATCTCTCACCATCTCCCTATTTGGTAGCCATATCAGTACCTACCATTTTCCGGAAAGGCCACCCCAGCCACTGCTATCCACAAGAGCATCATTTGGTGCCCAAATGGAAAGAGGATTATACACTGCATGCGGGTTGAGCTCAATTTGGTTTGAACAGGATTAACATTAAATATTCATAGGATTAAGATTATTTTTTTTTCTTTTTTAATAGTAAGCATTGGATTCAAGTATACTGGAGGTGGGATATTCCGAAATAGGTAGGTTCAGTACGCTGTGCTAAGAAATGCATTAGGAAGATTAAACACAACCTGATTGTAAATTTAAAAGATTCAGGACACGTTTCTGGACCCACTAAACAAACTAGTTTAGCATTTTGAATATCTACTTTTAGGCAATGGCAGCAATGAAAGAGAAAGGGTGGGATGCCCATTATCAGGAATCCCGTAGCCAGCAATAAGATTCCTACTTGAAGCATTTCAAGCGTTTGGATTAGTCAAGAATTCTCTGAGGAAAAGGTAAAATCTTAAATAACGTTGTCCATTTTTCATTTTTTCACGTTCTCCAGGAATGTTTTCCATTTATGTGGGCTGAGATTCACATCAACTGGGAACTAACCGAACAAGCAACCAATTCAATCAGCCCAACTCTGGGAGCCGAACAACAAAATCTTAGACTAGATAGCCAAACTGGCTGACACAGATTTGCTATTTTACCAAGATGTTAAGAATTGAGAGAGAGAGAGAGAGAGAAGCAGATTAGTCCACAGCTATGGAAATATCCAGTTACTGTTATGAAAGAGAACAAACCTTCCCAGTATGTTGAGTGTGTTCATACGCTGCCATTTGCCAGTACAAATTTGTGCGCTTGTAGAAGTCCTTCAAGGATTCTCCAGGCTTCAAAAAAAAAAAAAAAAGGTACAACACAAGCAATCAATTCAAAGGGTGATAAAAAGAAACATGATTCAAAAAGAAGACTAAAGCTATATTTAGGTACAAATGCAGAGTAGCTAAATTCTGCAAAGCGCAAATAAGATTCCAATCCCTTGTCCAAAGAGTTCCTGACATATATACACTCACTCAAGTTTCAAGAATTGGAAAGTGAAGATTCTTTTATTTTAGAGTCATATCTACAAAGAATAAACGGAGTACCATTGGTGTCCTCTGTGAATCGGAGAGCCCAAGATTGGCTCTGATCTGCTCTATCCTGGCCCGCTTCTCTTTCCTCCGAACACTTTTTCCCCCACCCTTAAGTATAGCCACAGCATCTCCCAATTCAAGTGATCCAGGAACACTATTCTTAGCCTTCACATAGACAAGTTCAGAACAGAATATTAAAAAAAATAAAAAACTAAGAGAACTTCATGATTATTCTAAAATAAAATAAAAGAAAAAAAACATGTACATCAGCGTCTCTCTCTCTCTCTCTCTCCATTTTTGTGTGGGTGTGTTACATAAAATCAACATAGAATAAGAGTCCCACTTATTTTGCATTGGTTCTTATAGGAATATCACCATCATAAGAAGCATCAATTCCTATCGGTGTATCAACTCACCAAGTTAGTTTGCTATTGGCACCTATAAAGATGATCATCACATCCCAAAGATGACACAAAAAGGTTAACCCACTTGACTATCAATGACAGTCATGTAGGACATGCAGGATGTTCTTAACCAAATTGAACAAATTGACAAAATGGGAAAGGCAAATTTTAATATAAGTCAGCTGCATGTCCAGTTTTAAATGAAAAAATGCTATGTACCATAAAAGTTTGCCCCGAAAGTTACCCCGAAAATGAGGCGGATGGTGTAGGTTTAAAGTTGGTGAGATGTGGGTCACACCTAGAATGATTGTGATCCCTAGATGTACTAATCTGGTACTTTTCTGGGTAATTTTTCTGAGTGTGTAGTATTGTTGGTTTTAAATATAAGTTTTGACACAAACACCTCCACCCCACCCACCACGCAACAGAGAGAGAATGTCAAGTTAACTAAGGCATGTATTCTTGTGGAAACTTGGAACTAAAAAAACACTCACATCATCATCATCATCATCATCATCAGTCTCATCACTGTCATCTTCACAACCAGATTGTTCATCTTCACTTTCGTCTTCGTCTTCATCCTCATCTTCACCCTCTGAGGCTTCTATCCATTCAGATTCAGATGCCTGTGTTAATAACAAGAGAGAATTTATCTTCAGGGATACAAATGGGGTGTTTTGGAAGAAAAAAAATAGCCAAATTTAGGCTAAAAATCACAAAAAGACAAAATAGGCTAAAATAGCTAATAAGACAAAATATCACATCAAACCCATAATCATTTCACTTTTTCTCTCACAAACATCACATCCAACCACAAAAAAATCCAATCATCTTCCCAAACACACAAATTTTAGCCTACTTAAAATAGCCAAAAACTAAAATAGCCTACTAAAACAGCCACTTCCCAAACGAGGCCAAAATTTAAGTAGGTATATGTACCATGAATAAGATGATGTTTGCAACAACTTTTAATTTGGACGACATGAAACATATTCAATGTACAAAATTAGCAAAGTCTACATTGTGGAAACCTGAACAGTAATGTAAATTCAAAAGAACATGGCATTTCAGCAGTGTAATTTCAGTTTCAATTGACCTTGTATTTGGGAAACATGAATAAGTTTTATATGCTTCACAAGGTCTAGTGACTTTAACAACCCTCTCCCCACTTCCCACAAAAAATAAATAGTACTTAAAAAAAAATGCATATAGGTTAGTTACTGCCTCTATTGCACTCTGAAAAAAAACAAAACAAAAAAACCTAAGTCTTATTATGAAATTTATAGACCAATCAGCATAGTACCTAAATTTAAAACTACAAAAAGTCAATTTGTGCAAAGTCTGAAACTATGTCAATAGTGCTGCCAGGAGGTCATTGGCCCCAGGTATGAACTCATATGCATGCACCAGAAAGTTATAGATGGATCTTGAATCTTCATGAACAGTTCAGTGCTGAGAAGCATAGACTCTTCTGCAGAGGAAGTGTGTATCGGACACTGACACTCTTAAAAGTGTCTCCAGCACTCCTTCAATGTGCCTTAATTAAAAAATAAAATTCATAATATCAAGCATTTCACCGTCACTTCACAAACACTTCTTGAACTCTTCGAACATGTCCTATATGATGAATCCCTTTATAATAACAATGTTTTACATTCCTCATAACACAATTTATGCACTGTAAATATAGTTTGGAGCATTTATAAAATGGATACATCATGTGTATTACAATACTTTATAATTATTTTGTTCTTTAGAATGTAATTGTCATATGAATGACTTCTTGATATTTAAGTTATGGAATATAAAACTTTTTAATGTAATTGAACAAAGGTCAAATTACACTAACCTACCCTGAGGTTTGGAAAACATACAGTAAGAAGCCTCGCAAGTTTGGCATAATTACATTGGGTCCCTGAAGATTTTAATTCACATAACACTTGGCCCCTTTTTCATTTGAAAATCGTTTGTCCTATAAATAGAAAAATGGTGTCATCTCATTTACACTAAATATATATATTTTACCTTATTTATCTTTGTCTCTTCACAACATCTGCATTAGTTTCAGTCTCTTTAGCCTTACTAAAAGGCAGGTCAATATAACTATGCCAAAACTGTGGGCATTTATGTATTTGCTTCAAACCTTATGGAAGATAAGTGTAATTTAACCTTGAAAAAATTATTCATTTATATGATGTATAATAAATTGGTAAAAATACAAAAAAATTAACATGTTCCACGCATGTCGTGTCTTGTATTTTTTGAAAATCAACATGTCGCTGTGTCCATTATCTATGCTACTTAGGTTCAATGTTAAGGTGCAAGTTAAGAGTCTGCCTCAGCCAACAGTCTGCAATGATGAGCTCACCACTCTTTACCAAATGAAAAATGTTCCCATCACAAGTTCAAAAATCTAATAGGAACGAACACTAATTAGATAGATACAACCATACATTACATCCAATTGATTTCAAAACCGTACAGGAACGAAATAGTGATTCAAAAACCTTGCATGCAACGATCGAGTAAAAATTAGTAATGCTGAACATCAGGGCACTCAACCCTCTAATGAAATTTTGTTTAGCCTGTCTACTCAAAACAATAAGAATTTAACATTAAAGGCATCAGTTTTGCCGATCATTTACCAGTGGAAAAGAGAATGATTAAGGTCCAGATTAGGATAAGCATCCTCATAAAGCAGCAAAAATAAAGTGACTTGATTGAAATCAGAGCAAAAGATTATCAGATCCACAGAGAATTCTTAAGGTGTCCAATCCAAAGATGGCCCGTGAAGCAAAATGTTTTTGAACAAGTGTGAATATGGTAAGTGGTTTAAAGTGATATTATGGATCATCACACATTATCTTGAACTGTTGTATGTACAGACAAATCAATGAGTTTTTAATTCTTCAAATATGCATAGCAGTGAAATATAAGTTGTTTCATTGTTTTTATGTGTGCCTATATACAGGAAAGAATGACCTGAAATAAATCCAGTGAATCATCCACTTCATAGAGTACAACATACAAGGATAATCAACCTAAGTACTTTTTGATCTAGCAAAACACAAGCAACTATGCTTTATGAGAGAAACAATTGGACAAACCGGTATGATGCACTTCCATTCATCAAGTTTGCTGAGATTAAGTGTATACAAATCATCAAGCGTAATTTCTCGATCCTTTACTTCCATCATGCCCCCATAAATAAAAAGAGTATCTCTTCCCACAGCCATGCAGGAATTGATACGTCCACATGGCTTCACTACCTGCAAGTGACACAACATTAAAAATGAATGATTGAATGAAAATCCCAAGATAATCATTTCCATCCAATATAACAAACCTCCGATGAAACAGAGCTTTGCAAAGAATATTTGGAACTAGATTCAGAAGGCTTTCCATCAGATGTAGTAGCCACCCTCTCATCATCAACAGTCATGGTTCTTTCTAGATCAAGAGAAATATCATCAATGTTGCTTTCCACATCCACTTCTTCATTGTACTCCAAATCCTCATCTTTGTCATTTTCACACTTATCCAGCTCCATTGGACTTATTTTATCATCAACAGCAGCAGTGTTAGGTTTCTCGTCTGAACTCTTTTTCGACTGTAAAAACAATCCAACATGCAACCATATAATATTATTTTATTTCTTGCATTAACGACTTACTACTAATCTGTTCAAAATTTTGAAAAGAAAAAGAATAATTTAAAAAAAAAAAAAAAATTGAAGTTTAATTCAAGTTGGACAAGGCAACAAATTATATATTCAAACAAAAAGAAAAAAAAAATTAAAAATATATATGTATATAGAATGACACATACAACAGCGACATTCGTTAAAATAAAAATAACATAGGTACTACTACAAACCTCTTTATCAGAATCATACGAATTACGATTCGATTCACGAATTCGATTTGTGATTTATCAAAAATCAATACACAATTGATTTATGATTCGATTCACTTTTTATGATTCATGCAATTCTTGAAACTATTATGTCTGATGAATTTTGACCCTTTTTTTTAGCTCTTTTTTAGTGAAAATAACATGATACAACTTCTACGAGTATTTAGTGCGAAAATAATCAATACTTTTATATGATTTGTTGTTATTTTAGTGATCATAGAGTTTTTAATAGCATCCCATCAGATCTAACATGTTTCTAATCTTTATTTCTTCTTTTTTTCCCCCTTCCAAAATGTCATAATGTATCTTCTAAAGATGCTTAAGGTTAAAGTAACTTACACCCGTAAATTATCTATTGCTATTTTAGTAAAATAAATACGGTTCAATACTACATGGGTCAGGTTAGTCAAACCCATGATTCCACCAAAAACAAAAATTTTAAATTTAAAAAAAAAAATCTTTTTTTGAGCAATAATCATACGCCACTTTTAAAGTATTTTAGATTTTAAAATAACTGTTTTTTACTTAATTCTTTCTTCTTATTACCTTTTATATAGGGTTCTTAGGTCCATTTTTTGTATGCCAAGAGAGATTATATTATAGTTATTGAATAATTTTATAGTTTGTGAGATTTAGACCAACATCTCTCGATATAAAGCCATGTTTTTCCCAATTAGACGGTGTAATGATGTTCCTATATAAGAAATATTGTATATGATATGTCAACCAATTTGTTTCATTCTTTTTCATATATGCGTTTATTTAAGATCTTTTTCATAATTTGTATCGACTCTTAATGATTGTCAATTCGATTCAGGATTCATAACATTAGGATTTCAATTCACGATACGATTCATGATTTGCGTAAAAAAAAGACAAAATAATCACATACATTCATGCTACAAATTTCTTGACAAGAATACCTTATTTTTTGTTGACTTTGCCTTCCGAAGCTCCAACGGGTACCTATATTGCAGATTAAGAGGAGATGGAAAAATAAAGAAGGGATCAAAAAAATCATCTTTTTTTTTTTTTTTTTGATAATTGAAGGAATGGAAAGATCTAAAAGAATTTCAATGCATGTTTACGAGTGTACTCAAAAAATGTTAAATTTTGCTCAGTGTACGTTTTTTAGTAATTAACAAATCTTCATAGCACAAGCTCCCTAGAAGTGCCAAATAAGATATTTTTCTTTTTATTCGCAATCAAAAAAAAAAAAAATTATTAAAAAAGGTAGCAAGTATAAGAAAGCGGGGGAAAAAAAAGTCCACCAAAATCAAGAGAGAAGAAAAAAAAAATAATACCTCACACTCTAAAAAAAGCAGTCCAATCTTTAAAAATTAAAAATAATGGAATCCCCTTAAAATAAAGGACCCCTAAAACCCAAAAAGGAGTCCTATTAGGGGTGTTCACAGGTTGGCTCGGATCAGATTACCCTTGGCCCGTTAGCAGAACCGACATCATCAGTTTAGGAATCACTCAACCGTTATCAACTAACTTACAATTCGAAATCGACTGATTCAAAATATCCAATTTGACGGTCAGTTCAGTCGATTTCAAAAATTTGTTAAAGATAAGAGGGTGGAGGAAAAAATTAGATTCAAAGTTTAAAACAAATAAATAAAAGTCCTACATGCATACATACATACATTTTGTAAGAGAAGAAGATGGAGAAAATAAAATGAGGAGAAAGGGGAGACTCATTATGCCACCGTCACTGCAATTGCTCATCAACATCGCCACCATCGTTTATTGGCGCTGCCTCCGTCAGTAGCCAACATTGTGCACCACCAACAGAAAGGGGATATTGTTGGCTACCAACAGAACAAGAAAAATGAAAGATCAAAGAGATGAGAAAGATTGAAAGATGAAACGTTTTTCTTTTAAGTCTTAGAGAGAAAAACGAGACAGAGAGTGATAATAAGGGAGACCATCTGTCTTCTAGGGTTTGAAATTTACTGTTGGAAGTTGGAATTGAGAGAGAGAGAGAGAGAGAGAGAGAGAGAGCTAGAGAGGTTCTGGAAATTGGTGTTGGTGTGGTGGTATGAAGAGAAAAACGAAACAGAGAGATGATGAGAGGCAATCAGTACTTTAGGATTTGAAATATACTCTTGGAAGCTGGAATTAGAAAGTATGAGAGCGAGAAAAGGTTTTGAAAATTGGCGTTAGTGGAATACAAGCTCTCAGTCAGAGAAGGTATTAAATCCAAAGTCCAAAACTATTCAACACCTTGAAGATTTGAAAGTATAAAAAGTATTTTATTTGGACAGGTTGGGTTAGACAGGTGTATGTATGTGATCTACCCGCTTCTGACCATGAATCTGTAAAATTCGAAGTAGCAAAACCGCAGCCGATCGTTCAATAGTTCAAAACCGTCCATTTCTTCTTGGATTGAGCCGGGTCGGACGTTTGGGTAGGTCCACAGTTCCTATGAACAACCCTAAGCCAAATAACAAATTTTACCTGAAATGATCTCAACTTCGTGAGTTTTCTCCTCAAAAATGCTAACATTTCTTCGTAGTCATAAAACCCAAAGAACCACACAAACAACACATCTCCAAAACGCCTGAATCTTGTAAAATTTTATGAAATAGGAATATTACAAAATTAAGCTAAACCAGATAATGTTAACATAACATGAGATGGATTACCAGCGACGGCTGTCTAACTGAAATCCATAAAGCTCATTCAAGAACAAACTCATTATTACATCACCTGCACAGAAAAATACAGTTACAAAGTCAGATTTTCTTGAGATAGAAAGCACACATTCAGTGAAAAGAATGATTGAACACAGTCAAGGCAAATCTCTATCTTTTTTTTTTTGATAAGTCAAGTCATCAAAGTTATATTAACAACAGCATCAAAAAGGGAAAACCCTGTACACTCAAAAGGCCCAAGCCCATATGCTATACATCCACCTGCATGAAAAAATCACTAATGAATGGCACCAACGATAAAACAAAGAAGGGACAAGAAAAGGCTCCAACGTAATTCAACACTACCAAAAAAAACCCTTTTTTGAGCTAACTGAAGTGTAATAAATCCTGTATCACTAACATGTTCAATCTGGGGGGCCTATTTTATCAGGGGAAAACATCTCCTTCATCACTAACTTAACTTGCATCAGTTTTTCATCTTTCATTCATCCTTGCAACACCTTGAATTAAGAAATATTATTTCCCAAGGTCTGCAATCATTGGCTTTCACTGCATCTGATCTTGAGCACATACGCTGAAACCAGTTTCTCTACATTGTTTGCTATTGGTGCAACTACTAATGGTTAAAAATATATATTATCCCAGTACACTTTACAAAAAATAGTTAAAAAGTGGATCCAGTTCTGCCCACATCAATCTTTAACATCCCTACTTCAGCTATGCTCATTTTTTGCGAGTACAGAGTTCCTTGACTTTCCAACAGCTTGCACTACAATGGCAGTCATCATCATCTTAAAATTTCAGATAGTATCAATACAGACAAATGTCCCACCCCATTTATCCTTTCACCATCCTCTCTCACCCTTACAATAATGAACCTATACAATAAAATAGTTTCTTTGGAGTTTCACTTGTCATCTACTAATGCTACCTTCTAAGTTGGTCAAATATATCTAAACAGCAACAAGAATATCTCCCAGGCATAAATAGAAATTCCAGTCAATATGTCAGTGGGATTGGCCTACATTGGAGATAAAATTAACATTGTGTTTGGATCATAGATTTGGATAGGGATTTAGAAATCTCAGCTTATATTTCATTCACATTTCTTCACTCACCTTTTCTCTTTCCCCCTCTCAAAATTCCTACCCAAAATTCTAATCCAAATACAACCTAAGTGTACATATTGACTTGTCATGATGAGAAAAACACTAATACTTGTCATTTGTCACTAGCTGAGGGATCAGACAACATGCACAGCTCCATGGGCCTGAGACTTGTCTAATACTAATTGAGTTCACCTTTGTTTAGTGATGAGATGAAATGACAAAAAAGAAATGCATAAGGTACTTTGAAAACAAAGACTAATTTGGATAATTTGATAATAGAGAATAGAGAAACAAATATGAATGCCTCTACATAAAAAGAAACTAACCTTCAACTTCCATGTCCACCACACCCCCAAAAAGTAGAGCCCGCTTTTTATGGACACACACAGAAAAACCAGCACGAGGCCCAGGCGGCATCCCACTTTTCTTTACCTATTACAAAGGAATTTTTTTTTTTTTTTTTTGGGGGAATAATTACAAAGGAATATAAATAAAGTAAAAAGCATTGAATAAAGGGAAGTTTCCAAACAAAAGGAAAGCCAATGTAGGATACAAGTCCCTTATACCTGGAAAACTGAATCATTATGAACAGAATGGTATGGAACTAGGAAAGGAATATTTGAAAAGCAACTTATTTTTTGAAAATCTCTTTAGTTGAATTTCAAGAACCACTAGCTACATGAGAACTAGGCTTGCTTAATAAATGTGAGGATAGTAAACTGCATGATCAACGCACAAATATGGTGCAGACTGCAGAATCATTGGAAGTAGTGAAAGAAAGGGTGTCTACATATAAGATATATTTTTAGGTGACAACCAGGGAAAAAACTGCCAACAAATTGCATCCATTCTTTCTACAGAAAATAAATAAAATAAGAAATTCAAAGTACAAAATTCATGCTTAGAAAAAGAACTTTGTATACAAAAATCAATCGGAAGTATCGATTGAACAGAAGCTTGTAATTTGTTTCTTCAACTTAGTCCACATATAAACACAATATGTGAGCAGATAACAAGCAGTGGTCTCACATAATGTGTAGTTCTATAATTTAATTTTCTTTATTAAAAACAATAATTAAAAAAATAATAATAATAAATCAAACACAATAAATAAATAAATAAATAAGAGATATAAGTCTGGAGCCTTGTATGCCTCGCGGAGCAGGCTCAAATCTGTCTGATCTGATTTGTGTACTTCTCACAGTAAGCGACAATAATTTTAAATTTTAAAACAAAACAATTCAAAGGCATTGTTGAAATGTTTATGTGTTTTACATAGGGGTGCAACTCAGGCAGGTTCGGAGATTATCCAAGCCCAGCCAAGTTGTGCTGAGACCTGCCTAAGCCTGCCCAAGTCCGAATTGTAACTCGAGATTGTCTGCCCAAGCCCGACCCGATTAAAACCTGAATTGCCCGAATTGTAAATAAGTTTTAGTTTTTTTTTTTTTTGGCAGCGAAATTATTAAATTATTAAAATTAGAATTTAGTTACATTTTTTTTTAAGAAAATCATTAATAACATCAAAACAAATAATTTATATAATGTAAGAGAGATGCCGCTATAGTAGTCTTTACAATTGATGAGTGAGAATAAAAAATGTAAGATTTTGTGGTATTTGTATATATAATATATATTCATTATGATTTAATAATCTAAATTACATTAATATCATGTAATGGCTAATATTTTATATGTATGTTTAATATTTTTATATATCTATATATGTATAATTCAAGTTTCGGGTTGCTCGGGGTTGTTTGATATCTTTGTCCAAGCCCATCCAAATCTAATTCGGGCTTCTGAATTTTTGCTTAAGTCCGTACCAAATGTAAAAATATCTTATCCAAACTCTAAAAAAATTCGGGCTGGGCTCGGGTTGAGTCCACCCAAGTTGCACCCCTAGTATACATCAGCAAGATGATACAATAAGCTAAGTATTTCACCATCAGATAGTCTGTACTCTCTGCCTGTGTCTGTGAGAAACATTTCTCAAAAGAGGCACCACATTAATTTCATTGGGTCATACATGAATACAGAACAGGCCAATGTAATGCAACTACCCTTAAATAGCTGGGATTAAGTCAAGTTACATTAAGCATGCGCAGCAAAAACAAAAACCAAAAAACAAAAAAAACATAGTCATTTACCCAAAACAGAGCAACATGAAACATATAAAGGAAGCTTAAAATCACAAAAACCATGCACCAATTCTCTACTTGTTGACATGTATATCATTATTTAGCCCCATCCCCAACTCCCAAGCAGGAGATGGGGGTCTGCAGGTAAGAAAGCATACAAACCTTGTTCCATTCCCAACTCCTAGGGTCAAGGGACCACATGTCTGAATGAACAATTCCCTTCTCAGAGCCATTTTTATCACACGAAACTTCTTTGGAATAGCCACCGTATAAAAATATCTGCAATATGAAAAGTGACGAGCGGATATCACATTTCTTCACCTCAGGATACTTCAGTTTGGGGGAAAAAATACAACAACACAGAGAAGGATATAAAATTCAAATTCGAGATCGTATATGGATCTATATTTTGGCATTCCCAACTGAACTGCCATATTCAGCCCTCATCTTTGAATTTAAGCAAGTTTCAGTTAGTGTTTTTGCCCATTTCATGCATGACAAAACTGAACAGTTCAATATATTTGTACATTAGAACATCAACACCAATACCTGAAGCATCATATCTCACATGCGATGAGATTAAATTTGTTCCACTTGGCTGGGATCTTTTGGCATGTGTAACATTAAAGAAATTTTCCTTAGGTACCACACATTCAGTTTAACATTAACGAAATCTTTTGGCAGAATTGAAGAATTCGTAATTCATAATCATACAACCAGGATGCTGCTAGTGGAATTTAGCTTCCACAAACACCAAAAATAATTTATATTAAGACAGGAGTAAAACCCATGCTTGACTCCAGTTTACCCACCTCATCTTGGTGAACAAAAAGCTGAAAACCACTCCGAGCACTCGGCCACATACATCCAGGCGAGGGTTTTATCTCTTGCCACTACAATTCCGCATTGCATTAATTTTAGTAGATTAGTATGAACCTTACACTATCAACTTCATAATTTTAGACTTATAGAATAGTGAGGGACCAATCTGTTCACCTTAAACTGATCCAGGTCAAATACATGCAAATCATTGAAATACCTGCACATATGGAAACCTTCAAATATTACATGTTGCAGCAAAGCCAAAATCTAAATACAATCACACCAATAGAGTTTAACTATTTGATTCCATGACAAGTAAATAAACCACTATGAACAAGGTTCGGATCTGGTCTAGAGTTGAATTATTTGATTCCATGAAAAGTAAATGAACCACTATAAACAAGGTTCACATCTGGTTCAGTTTTCATTATTCAGGCCTCATTGAGCTACAGAAAATTCTAATGCAAAACTGTTGAAATCATGTAAATTTTCCTGTGTACAATCAAACCAGCAAGATTATCAATTTCATTTGTGCAGTTTCAATCTTTAGTTTATTTAAGTATTATAGGTCACAAATAATCAATTTTTTATAAGTAGATCATTGGTGTAAAAAAAAAAGATTAATTGTTATTAATTAAGTACTTAATGTCTTTCCTGAAATAAGTAGTAGAGAATTTATTTGAAAGAATAAGAAAGTGGAGAGGAAGTCTCCTTCCTCAAAACACCTATATTTAGTGACTACTATTTCTCATATGTATCATCTAATCAACTCCACAATGGAGTTGAGACCATCTCCCTAGACGAAGTTTTTGATTTGAAGATGGGCTCAGCAGATATATCTTACCCTGCTCAATCCTGAATCATTGTCCAAGAATGTGTTGATCCAACTTGCTGAACCCTCTAAAACGTCAAGAATTAGTATCTTGCTCAACCAAGCACTGATTTGGAATAGGCAAACTTTCTAGCTCAACATTTGAATGTGCTTGTTTAAGTAAAAACATATCTCATGCAATCATCAAGACCTTAAACAAGTACACAGGCCAGAAGCACTTAAAGGTAAAATATATATAAATTTTGAAAAAAGAAAACATACAATTATACCACACAAAAGCAACCAAAATAAATAATGGGATTAAACCCCTTGTATATGTTTAGGACAGAACATGAAATATTCAACAACCCATATACAATTAACAAAGGAAAAAGAGTTCATAATAATCCTAAAATTGTTTGATGAGGACCGAAACAACAACCTCACTTCTCTGAGAGTGTCATAGAAACCACCAAAAACAATAATCTTGTGCTTATATAAAACCTGCAACACATCCAAGAAATCGGCACATAAAAAGATCTTCATAAATGGTACATAAGTCAAGGTTAAAAGAAACTCAAACTAGAAAAATACTGCAAGACCAGAAACTGCATATAAAGCTTAAGAGAGCATATGAAACTCATAAGTCAGAAAAGAATACAAAAATGTATGTTCAATGTGTGAACGGGTGAAGGGGGGAGAAGAGGGTATTAGAAAGAGAGAGATAGGAACTCTTAGGAGTAGATCACAACATGGAAGTAAATATTAGAAATATGATCTATTGAAGGAATCATCATAAATAAAGAGTATAACATAGTCATTACATTCCAAATTACCAACTAGCCAAAACCTAGAGTCTCTGTTACACGGACTCTTCAAAATAAATCAAATACCCGTGTTGGACACCCGATACTCGAACAAGGGTATGGGATATGTGTCGGATATTTTTCAATGGACACTTATTATATAATTGTATATAATACAATTATTATAAGTACATATTGTTGTATAATTACTCTAAATGTCTTTTTGACACTGTAAGTTACATATAGTACCATTTTATCTCACATACATGATTATTAATTAAAAATATAAAAATATGACAATTTTTTAGCGAGTCCGTGTACCCTTAAATTTATGGTTTGATGAATCCGACCTTTAGATACATCCCCACACCCGACACCCATACCCAAGTCCATGTAACATAGATGATCGCACAACCCTAAGGGCTTCCAAGGTGTTCTAGAAGGGTTCTTTAAGCAGTAAAGGTCATTGTTTATTTCAATGTGGAGATAGAATACATGAAAATTTTATTACTTGAATTTTCTGGAATTGAATGCATTAAAGTTTCATTACTTGTATTTGTGGCTTAATTGTTCAACTACGATTTCCTATGTTTTGAAGTTTACGTCCAGTACTCTCATGATTTCACAATTTTATTTTTTTTTTTGGTTATTAATCATGTTTATAGACTTTATTTTCTAACTTGAGCATGTTGAATATCATATTGTTTGTAATACATAATTAATATGTTTAGGACGACTCTATATTCAATGCATCATCATCCAGCCAATTTTAGCAATAAATCCTAATGGCAAAAGTTTGGATAAATATGTTGTTGGGAGGAAATGCATTTGAAATCAGTGTACTTCATATGGAGTGGGTGTTTTGCTCACTCTGTTTTGGAGATGGGAAGTGTTTCAAAATAATAGGTTGTTGTGGGGATGTCATCTTACGAGAATCTTTCACCTTCTTATGTGGGATTATAATGGAAAATTAGGTTTTACTTCCAATCTATCTTGCATTTGATGCAGTAGGGATATGTTTCATCATGCATGGATGGGACCGTCAATTGGTGGTGGAGTTCCTTCAAACAGATTCAAACTACACCACAAAACCAACTACAAAAAATAGGAAAAAAAAAATTGCTCCTTAATATAATAATGGGGTCTTCCGAGCCTTCAAAAGTAGTCTCATCATGCTCTCCCCAAATGGACCACACCAAAACCAAAAGCACCAAAATTCAAGCCTTCTTCCTTCACTTTGACACTCTAGTTTCCCTCCAACTCCAAGTGTGCAACAACTCTAACAATTTCCTAGGGAACACCAAAACCAAACCAAACACTCCTAAAATCAAGGGACCAAAAGTCCTAGCCACCATGCATTAAATAAGAAGTTGATTGATTGATTCCCCTTTTTTATTGTACATAAAACACCAATTCACATAAATCTACCTCCTCCTAATGACTAATGAGATTATCAAGGGTAAGGATCTTTCCATTAGTCGTAGACCAAACAAAAAATGCCAACTTAGAAGAAGCCTTAGACCCCGCAGACGTAATTTTTCAAAAATAATATTTTTATCAAGGATTTTATTGCAGTTTTTATTGTTTGCTCGGATCATTATTCAGATGAGGGAGTTGTCAAACTAGGGGTTGAAGGCATTGAGGGATGCTTATTGAGGAGGATAGAGATAGCTTGAGAGACCATTTGACAAATTGGAGATTAGAGATGCGGTTTTTTATTGCAATAAAGGCAAAGCTCCAAATCCGGATGGTTTTTCTATGGCTGTTTTCTAGGTCTGTTGGGGAAGTGGTGAAGGGGCATTTGGTTAAAGTCTTTGATGAATTTTTTGAGAAAGGAGTGATTAATTTGTGCACAAATCCTTTTATTTGTCTGGTTCCAAAAAAAGATAACTCTGTTAAGATTAAAGATTTCAAGCCCATTAGTTTGGTCACATCTCTTTACAAGATTCTTGGAAATGTTTTATCAAAGAGACTAAGATCTTTGAATTCTACTATCTCTTGGGTTCAAGGACCATTTGTGAAGGGTCGCCAAATTCTTAATGGTTCTCTAGGGACAAATAAAGTGGTTATTGGAGTAAGAAAAAGGAGGTTCTCATCTTTAAGTTTGAAAAGGCACATGGCCATGTTGATTGACAATTTTTGGACTGTCTTGGAAAAAGAAAAGCATATGAGTTGAGATGGAGCAGGTGGATAAGGGGGTGTCTTCTGCCATGCAATATGTCCATTATCGTTAATGGTAAACCGAGAAATTTGTTAGGGCTTCAAGGGGATTGAGGCAGTGTGATCCACTGTCGCCGTTTCTATGTTTACTTCTTGTTGATGTGTTGGGGAAGTTGGTCGATAAGGCTAGGGAGGTGGAGTTATGGTTTTGTAATAGGGAGGGGATTTGTGTATCCCATCTCTGGTTTGCTTGCAAATGACACTATTTTCTTTTTCTGAAGAGATGAACAAGGTTCGTAGCCTTCTTTCTTTACTAAGAATCTTTGAAATGATTTAGCTGATCAAAAAAAAAAAAAAAAAAAAGAATCTTTGAAATGATTTCAAGGCTCAAGGTCAACTTGAGAAGAGTAATGTAGTGGGAATTACATGCAACAAGATATGGTTCAATGGGTAGCAGAAGATTTGGGCTGTTCCACTAAAAGTTTACCATTTAAGTACTTGGGGTTGCCGTTAGGGGTAATCCGAGGAGTCATTCTTTTTGGCCTATGGTCATTGAAAAGACTAAGAAAAGATTAGAGGGATATGGGAGAGCTATGTTGTCAAAAGGGGGTAGATTTACTTTGGTCCAAGCAGTCCTAAGTGGGATTCAGGTCTATTTTTTTTGCCTCTTTTCACAATCTCGGTTAGAATTGCAAAGAAAATTTAAAAAATTGATCAGGGATTCCCTTTGTGAAAGAAAGGACGAGGGTAGGTAGGATCATTTGGTTAGATGGGAAATTGTTTCACTTTCTAAGAGAAAAGGGTTCTAACAATTGGGAATATTGTGGCTAGGAATATTGCCTTGGCAAGTGGTTATGGAGATTTTCCAATGAAGGTGAGTCACTATGGCAATCTATGGTTAAGAACAAATATGGGGTTCATGTTACTGGTAGAGACCCTCAAGTTGTGAATAGGGGATAAGGTCGATCTCCTTGGAAATTTGTATCTCACATTTTGACGCTTTGGCCCAGGTCTCTTGCTCTAAGGGTGGGAAATGGGGTTGATGTCCAGTTTTGGGAAAGATGTGTGGGTGTATTATTCTTCCTTTGAGCATGCTTTTCCTTGCCTTGATAGGGTCGCTCAGTCTCATAATTCAACCATCTCTTCTTTGGCATGTTCTAATGACACACCTATCTCTTGGAATTCTTGCTTTGCTAGAAATCTTAATGATAGAGAAACTAGTGATTTGGTTTCTTAAATTTATAAGATTGATCATATTTCCTTGATTCCAAATTTGAGGGATAAGATGGTATGGCTTTCTCACCCTTCAAGGGAGTTTACTTGCAAATCTTTTTTTGACTTAAGTATTGATCAATTGAATGCACCTTCTTTTCGCCTTCATAAGAATATTTGGAGATCTTTTGTGCTGCATAAGATAAAGTTTTTGATGGTCATTGAATCGTGGAGGCATTCTAACCAATGATACCTTTCAATAGAGGAGACATAATTGTGCTCTTTGTCCTCAATGGTGTGTAATGTGCAAGAGATGTGAGGAATCTTTGAAGCATTTTTTTTACATGGTCCCATTGCTTTGAGTTTGTAGCATCGGCTCTTTTGTTTGGTGGATTTGTCACGGGTGGTTCCTATGGATTGTATTCAAATGCTCTCTATTGAATTAAGAGGGTTTAGAAATCAAAAGAAAGCAAAAGCATTGTGGATTTGTGTGGTTGGAGCTATTTTTGGGTCTTATGGGTGGAAAGAGGAACGCAAGAATATTTTAAGACAAATTTGGGAATGTGGACTCTTTATAGGACAAAATTTGAAGTTTGGCATCTTTTTGGGTTTCGGTGCCTCCTCCAGTCCAAGGGATTCCGTTTTTTTTTTTTTATCCAAAGATTGGAAGGTCATGTGTGATTTATAGTTTTTCTTCTTGGTTTTTTTTTTCCAAGCTTGTTTGGATTAGTGCTTTTTGGTTTTTCTCAGGGGACATCTTGTCCTCTCTTGTATTTCTCTTCTCTTTTTAAATAAATATACTCTTCTTTTTTATTATAGTTTCCAAATTTTACCTCAAGTCAAATTTGCCATTTTGGTAAATTTTTGATTTTTTGCTATTGTGGCTTGATTTGAGGCGTGAATTGTTGATCACCAAGCAACATTCACTATAACTTGGATTGTAAACCTTTGAGGCTAGGGAGTCATTGATTGAGTAATAAAATTTAGAGAAAGTTTTCTCTGTTCTATATTGTTATTTTCCTTTCGTTTTTCATTCATTCCATACGCTTCCCTAAATCACTTCTCCGTGGGAATAATCTTCACACCCACTAAACATAATAAGATCTGATATCTCTCAAGTCTTCCATAGAGGCCTATAGTTTTGTTTTCTATGATTCTTGCACACTGGCTGCTCCCCTTCTTTTTGTACCTTCCAATAATAATGTAATGACTGGACAAATTTAAACTTTCATTTAATTATATTTGGGGCGCTGATTATTTATTTAATCTCAATTAGTTCCCTCAATTAAATTTCTCATGCGAGAGTTAACCGGTACACACGAACGG